AGCTCGAGTTTTTCTATTCTTCTACTTCTTTATGTGTAATTTTACTTTTTGTATCTCTTTTCTTAATATGCTAAGAGATGTTAGTTAGTGAGTTTAATAGTTTATCTATGTAGTAACCTTTAGCTCAATTTTGTGACCAAATGATCTACGGAGAGAGTTGATATATTATCTGCTGATTAGAGTTTATGCTGCGACTATTATTATTAGGTCACCTTCACTATATTTTCTGCATCATTCATACTTATATAGAGATACTACCAGATAGATACTATGAGCTACATTGGGCATCGTTAATTCTCATGGATAACTTCCTGTTTGGTGTCTAGCCAGTTTTACTGCCTAACTTTATATCTTCTAGTTAGTATATTCATGACTAAAGCCTAGGCCCACAACTTGTTATATCTTCTGCAGATTATGGAAATACTAGCATTTTACAATATACAACTGTATTCATATACTATATAACTATCAATACCAGATACTCCTATGTGTTAGTAGAGTACAGGCTATATTTCGCAACTGAGGTTGCTTCTAACTAGGTTCGTAATATGTAGTACTACTTCCAACTTGTGTCTGTATTAGCTGGTGTTTAATATTAGTATGCCCTTATACTCAGATGTGTGATTGCACTATCAGCTCAGTGCTTCCTGCCAATTCGGGTTTTTATGTATATTCTAGATAGTAGCCAACTCTCTATAGAACTGAGACCTGCTAATTCTAACTTTCACATGTACCAGAGGTGTTCCATATCTAGTTAGGACAATCCTTTTCTATAGATTTCTATTATATTCATCACTTCGCTTATTACTCTAGCTCATGTTATCTTTGTGTCACCTTTCCAAGCAAGTTCTCAACTACTGGAGATGTTGGTACTGCCTAACCTTTTAAGAACTTATTCATGCAACACTTGTGTAATGAAACCTTCTATGACACTGACTGTCACACATAATATCAACTTGCTTTATAATATCAATCTCCTTCTAGGAATTCCTTTTCTAGAATCTTGTACTTCACATGAGTTTTACCACAGAGCTTCACATTCGATTAATAGTTTTCATAAGAATTACAGAAACAAATGCCTCCAACCAGACTCAAACCGTTGACCTTGTCTGTGGAGAGTTGAGGACTTAACCAACTAAGCCATGGGACCCAACCCTTGAGATACAAGCTTTAAAATAGCAATAATCACTCGTTATCAATTAATTTGAAGAACAAAAGAGAATTGCAAAATTGGTACTGTATACAGTGCTTCTTTATTTAAAATCCAAAAACGATGGACGGAATAACTCCAATCTTTAAAAAATATTCAAAACGACTATGTTAAAATAAACTTTTTAAAAGCATTATACAATTATAAAATTTTCCTACTAAATTTAAGAAATTTTTTTTATAAAAATGTATATTGAATAATGGAAGAATTATACTTATTAATTTCGTGTTATTACTGTACATACTATTAAAAATTGTTAAACAGTTTAATTTTGCAAACTCAATAATCATTTTAGTGACATTATATATCCAAACAACATGTTGAGAGTATAAAATGCTAAGTATATAATATAGTTTTTCTGCTGAGATATATATAATTCTGCAAATATGTCAAGCAGAACATTATACGTATTCACAAATCACTGTTACAATTTCTCAATTTGTTAATATATACCTATCGCTATATTTGAAATAGATGACGCCTATTTCTGGTTTTTTGAACTCATTTCTATGTAGTTAAAGTTAAATCCTGACCGATATCGATATTACTAACGCTTCTATTTTAATAGGCGTTTTGAATTGTTTACTAACTCTGAGCAAAGATATCTCTACAACCACCTGACCAAATTCGATAAAAAAATTTTTATTTGAATTCTACAGATCCATAGAATTCAAACAAAAAAAATTTAATCAAATTTGATCGGGTGGTTGTCGAGATATATTCGCTCAAAGTTTTAAAAAATTTGGCGCAGCTTATATTTGATAGGCGGTTTGAATTGTTTACTAACTTTGAGCGAAGATATCACAACAACACTTAATCAAAATCGGCAAAAAAAATTTTTTTTATTCTGATATCTTCACTCTAATTCTTGAATTTTTTATTAAAAGTATAATAGTCGTGTATCAAAAAAGTATACGCGTATAAATTTTAGTGTAACATCTGCGTATATCAACAAAGTAAGTGCAGGTGTATCAATTTCGTAAGTTTTGCAACCATGCGTGTAACCACACTCAATAATGTTTACGCAAATGCAAGCCACCCAATTCTACTCTAACAAACTCTATTCTGAAAATTTCAAAATTAGTTTTTTCACCTCTCTCTATCCACAAACCTAATCAACGCAGCAGGCGGGAAACCACTGGCTGAATTTTAAATAAAATTTATGGCTCTCAAACCTTGAAGCGCGTGTTAATGTTTTTCGTAGACTTTATTATTCTACGTATTACGTAATCTATTCACTACATAATTACGTCATTCTTAAAGCATATCGATATAAAAAAACTAACACTAATCATTTTATTATTCCTGCTGCCGCTCTTCTGACTTCTCTGTGTTTTACATGGGGAGTTACGGTGCCAATATTCAAGATATTCCCGACAATGATGTCATAAACTGGGTCCATCGACAAAGCTCATTACTCGAAGTGGTCCATATTAGGAAATCAAGGTCTAAGTACGTAATTAATCAAGAACAGATAATAAATTCATTTCGTTACTTATATTTTTAAATTTTAGCTAGGCTCATCTACATTTTAGGTCGCCCCAGCAGGCCCGACATTTCCTTGATATTATTGGATCTAAAGAGATAATAGGTCCAAATAATGTCCTCATATATTTTTCCTCAGGGAAAAGAACCGAGTATGTACATGTTTTTTCGATTATTCGTTTTTTTTTTTTTTTTTTTTCATATTCACATATAATTATATAGCGTCGCCGCCCCCACGACTGCTCCGACTGCTCCAACTGCTCCAACAAATTACGCCCCCACGACTGCTCCAACACATAACTCTCCCACGACTGCTCCAATAACAGACGCCCCCATCACGTATGTACTATATATATTATAACTAGTTTCGGGAAGATAATATAATAGAATTCCCATTCCTAGCATCATATTTAAGATAAAAATTCCAAAGTAAGTTTAAATAATAAATTCTTGTTAATTTTTTTTTATGTTTAAAAATTTTTTTTTAGTATTATATTTTACGAACCATTAATAACAAATAACGATGGTGTTCTGGAAATTCAACTTTTCCAAAAAATTGAATAACGTTTGTTTTTCGTTTTTTTTTTTTTTCTATTTTGTTTTAAATCTGAAGATTTGAAGCAACGGCTGAAATACAAGATTCAAAAATACACAAAACTGATAATTGTATAATAATGTAAATTACAATTTTTAAGATTTGTAATAATTGCTGAATTGTAATGTAAATTACAATTGTTAAGATTTGTAATAATTGTCTTAATTAATAAATGTTATACGTATTCGATTATTACAATTAATATATGCCTATGTTTAATTAAATAAATGTTTAATACGTACAGTAAATATTTCATTAAATATTTAAACTATATAAAAATAAAGGAAAAATATATATACATGTAGCCATCCAATAAAGCCAATCAAATTTAAAAAAATCACTAATGAAACCATCTTCTACACTCTAACAAAAAAATTCCTCGCTAAATTTTCTAAATTTTGCATGTATTAATGCCTAGATAAAATCCCAAGCCTCACCCTAACCCTAATCTTAATCGTGGGTTTTATTTTTATAAAAAAAATTATTTTGATAATCACATTATACCTGATCTTAGTTACGGCTACAAATAAATTAATTCAAAAATAAATTCTAAATAAATGTTTCGTTAAATTAATAAACATATCAGATATGGGCTAATCGGCGTAATTCCTTAAATAAAGACACTGATTACGATTTATTAAAGGTCAATTCTACATCTTTCTGTGTAAAGGATATAACGATAATGTTATTGCACGAAAACCCATTAGATTATCGTCTAACTATTTGTCGGGCATGTTATTGTTATGAATAAAGAGTTTATGTTCAATACATTCAAATTTTAGGTGTGATCACTTCAAAATAGTGTCTGTTAGTAATACTGTAACAAGAATTTATGTAGAATTTTTTATTGCTATTGAATTATGACTATATATATATATATATCTCACTTTCCGAACGTAGTAGTAGAATTTCCTATAAATCCTGTAAACAAATTTCGCCACAAACTTCTCAACGAAAAACCGTATCGTAAATACCGATAAAGATGCATTCCAATTGCCCAACTAAATCCTTGAAAAAATGGGACTAACATTTCCTGATGAATAAATCTTCTTGCGATATCTCGTGCATTCATATCCTCCCGTTGAAAATCATTATAATGATGTTGTCCAAACAAAATATTTGAAAAATTAGGGGTCAATGATGGTTTTCTATTTTCTGATTCATTAGAATTAGTGGTCAATTCAGAAATAGCAGGACTTGAAGAACGATTTTCATGGGTTTTTGTAATAATTGGCGTTGAAATAATCCTATTCTCATTTTTCGGTTCATCATTTTCATCATTAATTAAAGGAGCGAGGATTTGGTCACGATTTTCACCAGGTCCAGGCACGACAGGAATATCATTATTTAATATTATTTCGGGAAATTCATATGATTCCATGCCATCTCCGATATGTACAGAATTAACACTACTATCATCTGGTGATATATTATAATCTTCCGTATTAATTAGTGTACCGCTCAGGTTTAAAGATTTTTCTGACCCAGAATGTAAGGAAGATACCATACAATCACTGTCCTCTTCTGAGTGCGGTACGTCTATAAACTGATCAGATTCGTCTGATTGTTCAGAGTATATACTCTTTTGCATAGGTGTAGTTTCTTGTTCTTCAATCAGTGATGTCGACTGAAAGCTAGAACCTAACTGAGATTCCATATTTTTTTTAATATTCCAAGGTTTGGAGAGATTTCTTGAGTGAAATTTTCCAACATAATGTTAAACGCATTTTAAGGGAGTGCCGTTTATTACCGTTTATTACGTAATTTAATGAGGACCACCATTTTTCCAGTTCACATGATTAAATTTAAAAAATCAACTAAGTCAATAGGATAATTATAAAAGTCTTGTTTTTTCTGTTTTTTCACGATCTACTTCATTACATTGTTCTTATAAGATATGGCGCAAATGTCTGAAAGCTATGATATTGACATAAACACTGGCGTCGACGACGATGATGCTATGATGGTTGACGAGGGTACATAAAAAAGATTTTATAAAAATTACTTTTAGATCCGATCACTTTTTTTTTCTTTTATTTTCAGATTAAAAATTTCAAAATTTCGACTTTATTAAACGTTAATTGATCGCGTGGTATATTCACAAGATTAAATTCGAAATCTTTTTATTCCTCGAACTTTTAAATATAGATACATACCTTGTAAATTTAAATATTTAAATATATATTTAAATTTAAGACTCTTACGTACTTACTTTTATTCTTTATTTAAATATAGATACTAGGCCAGCTTCAATTAAGCGCAAAGGACGCGGATTCAGAAGCGAATCAAAAGGTAAATAAGGAAAATTATCATCTAATTTTTATTTATTATATTAATTATATGGTTTGGTAATGAAATTTTTATTAAGATGAATCTAGAGATGGTGTGAGATCTGGTGATAAATATGATCAATTTGAATCTACTACTGACGAAGATGCAGCCGCTGGACGTGCCCAAAGATGTAAATTAATAAATTAATTTTGATGTATATATTTTTGCTAAAAAATAAATTATTAAATAATAAATATATTTTAGCTGTCGAAGGATGGATTGTTTTGGTAGTCGGTCTTCATGAAGAATCTACAGAGGATGAAATCACAGATAAATTTGCTGATTACGGTGAAATAAAGAATTTACATTTAAATTTGGATAGAAGAACGGGTTTCGTTAAGGTCTATCAACGTTATCTCTTTCTTTTAACAAAAAAAAAACACAATTTTTATTGTTTTTTTTTTGTACTGACATATTAATGATGCGTTCGATTATTTAGGGGTATGCGCTTGTTGAATACGAGACATACAAAGAGGCTAAAAATGCAATTGATGCTGTTAACGGAACGAAGCTTCTAGGCTCTACGTTACATTGTGATTTTGCTTTTATAAGAGCACCTATTAATATCTCTTCCAGTACTGATAGAGAATTACGAGATCGTGGCCCTAATAGAAATAGAACGGGAGGTAGACGGCGTGGGAGATCAACTAGTCCATCAAGAAGATATTAATTTGATTTTATCGATATTCAAAATAATAAACATAATATTATACAATACTTTCAATTACTGGTAACTGGTTAATACACTCAAATTTGTTTTGTATTAATTTTAATATATTATATATATATATATTATGGAAACATAGCACAGCAGTTATAAGATGTCACAATTTCTTTATTGAAACCCGTTATCTTTATGCCTGTAGCTTATAACCGACATTTGATTAAATTGATTTCTAGAAAATTTATATTATTATGTTTTTTATACCAAATAGACTCGTGTTATTTATTTTGTATTATTAAAAAAAAAAAAAAAAACCCCCCCCGTTATTGGATGTTTCGCATCTGGCTTTAAATTTAATGTGCTTGACAACCTAATTTGTCTGCATCAGCTTACAATCTAAGGAATATGTTTGATGTTATATTATACTTGGTTATATTTTTCATACTTTTAGACTAGAATAATGTTCTAAATTAAATTTAATGATTAATACATGATAAGTTAAGTCATATCAGCGGATTTGCGGAATTGGTCCTGAATTAATCCTAAATTGTATCCTCAAAGTTATCCACGAACAAATATATTTACATAAAGATAATTTAAGGAGTAAATAGATACAATAACACGTAGTATAAATTTTATACTACGTGTTATTGTATCTATTTACCCCTTAAATTATCTTTTCAATTCAAGACCAATTCCGCAAATCCGCTGATATGTTTAGTATATTTAAATATAATATAAAAAATGTATATTATATATACTTTACTGCTTTGTATGCATTTATATTTTTTTTAATATACTAGATGCATATACGGATGCAAGTCAAAGTCTAAGTTTGATTTGAAACTAAACTTTAACCAAGATTTGACTTTTAGAGTCAAGACTAGACCAAACTATTCATATCTCTAGATATACATATTATAGAGTATTTGATTATATAAAATAGTATTATACAGGTAGTGGCATGCTAGGATGGCATCTTGGCATGAATTTTAGAAATGGCATGCCACATGGCATGCTAAATAAATTTGTACGTGTCAGGTTCCCTAGTCATAGCATATTCAAAGAACCGAATTTCTTTTCAGATTCATATGTTTAATTGATTTAATCACATAAATTGGTAATTTAAGAAATATAAACTAAAGATATTTTTTCTAAAAAATATAATTATTTAATATATTAAAATCCTTGATTAAAACTCAAATTTTAAATTAATGGATCAATAATTTATTTTATTTTATTAACTTCAAAACATGCAACATTCAGTTTAAACAGCTTCTAGAGTATATATTTGAACCTTGTTGCGTTACAAAAATATTTATTAATACAAATTTAAATTCAAATATGATCTCAGAATTTAATATAATAGTTATCGTTGTCTGGAACAACATCATCTAATTTGACAAAGGAGTATCAATATAATATGGTAAATTAAATCTATGATCAGTGCCAAATTTCTTATATTGTTTAAAACAATATTTTACTAACATTTTTTCATGCCCGCTTAATTCATTTGAATCGTCACTTTCACAACCTTTCTGACTTGTTTGATTTAACCAAATACTACTAAATTTCAATTTTCCATCATGGTATGCAAATCCACCACAACAAACAATACCATCTTCATGATCATATCCTAATGTATATTCAAGAAGATGATTATGAACACGTCCTCTCCCAGCATCTCTAAAGGCTTTTGATGGCCAATCATCAGTACATTGCACAACGATATAAAAACTTTTTCCTTTGTATCCTTTTGTTTTACCTTTTTTATTCTTCCACTCAAATTTTCCATTAATAGCATATACTATCATACCAGCATAATTTTTATCTGGATCAAATTCATCACTAAAATATGAATTTTACAAGATATGTTACCTAATTCATTTTTAATACGTTTATAAAGTTTTTTAAAAATTTTTTTCCCCATCTTTATAAACACTTTTCTATTTAAAAAATGAAATTATAGCTTAAGTTTCTTAGAAATAAAAAAACTTTGAAGAATTAAATTTTATAACTTGACTTGTGTAAGAAGGTTTGCTAGAAAAATAAGTTGAAAAAGGAAAAGAAAGGTTATTATATATATATATATATAGATATAAATCAAATTCAATTAAAAGTTGTTGTCAATATAAAATTCTTACTTTGGCTACTAATATATTTTGCGAGCACAAATGATAAAAAATAAAGCAATATCGATTTTTTTTTCATTTTATAGAATTTCGAAAATTAACGCCATTAAAGCGGAAAAAAAATTAAAACTCTGAATAAATTTCGGAGTTTTTATCGTAACAAAAGATACGTAATTAGTAATATTTACTGTATTACCTTATTCACTTATCGTTATAATATCAAAAGTAATTATTCATTCGTCCGGAACTTGTTACACGGATGATCTTTAATAAATAAATATTACGGCTCTGAGGCTGATCAAATCAAAAAATTTTGGGGTGCATTTTCTACGAATTTTTTTTTATAGTTAGATTAGAATTTAGGGTTAGGGTTATAACAAAAGTGTATATTTTGATTTTAGCAAGGTTTATAGTTTTAATCGAGACCCTTAATTTCCAGCATCAGCCATTTCCATCTTTAGCCGCGACAATAAATATACCGTTATGGTTTTGATCAATTAAATTATGGAATCAACAAATTCTATTTATAAATATATTTCATTTAATGAAAAAAAAGGTGTAATTAAATATCAATTTAAAAAATTTGATGATAATGAACTAAACTATGATGAATTTATCAGGCTTTTAGATTCAGAAAATGAACATTTTTTCAAAGAATTCACAGAAGCATTAAATGATGCAACAAATAAATTAACTACATACTTTTGGGAGTGTCCTTATATAACCAAAGAAACAAAAAATAAACAATTTGAATTTGTGGTAACTAAATGTCCGGAATTAAAATTTATTAGTCAAGATTATTCAAGCTTTGAAGAACATATCAATAAGAATGATAACAGTTATGTTTGTAGTTTTTCTAGTTTAGGAAAAGATGCTACTTTAATCATTCCTGTTCCTCAAGAAGGTCTTGATTATAAAAATCTTAGCAATTTTACAAAAAATGCCCCAAAAGAACAACAAATTAAATTTTGGAAGGAAGTGGTTAATAAACTAGATGAAGGTTTAGAAATTGACACTCCTCAATGGTTATCCACCAGTGGTTTAGGAGTTCATTATTTACATGTAAGAATTGACCGTAAACCGAAGTATTACTCTTGGAGAGAATATAAAAAATTTTGAAAAAATAGCTAAGCATTCTAGCACTATTTAATCGTTTTGAAGTTTTTTTTTTTTTAGTTCTTTGACTAGCTATTTCTTACTTGTTTAGTTTTTTTCTTTTTAGGCTTTAGTCGTTAATATTTCGAGATTTGTATAATATTTAATCTTATTATATAACTTGAAGTTTTATTATATTAGGCTAATAAATAATACAATCATACTGTGCATTTTTATTTAATAAAAAAATTAAACCCTAATTAATTTCGGCATTCATACGACATATACATTGCACAAAATATGAAATGACTTAATATGATTTTTAATTAAAAAAATTATTTTTCGTGAGATATAAGGTCATTATATGAAGATTATATTATTATTTTTTTTTCGCATGAT